TAAAACCAATGCCACTCAAACCTGAAGGTGGCTTTATGAATATGTGACCAGTCATTTTTCTAGAAAAGAAACCAAAGATTCCTACTAGATTATTTGGATTGCACATGTGGCACTCTGACTGAGGGGGTGGGGAAGATAGAGAACAAAAAAGACAGAATTTCTTATTTGGGTAGAGTTATTAATGAAGCAAAAGTGTTAAAAAAGACTGAACAACATTTTTACACATTCATACAGGAAGGACGAAAAATGACCTAGGCTTTATAACACAATTACTTAGAAAGCTTCTTCTATGATCTTCATTTTGTATATAAAAAAGTATATAAAGTGAAGAGGCCAAAAAATTGAGCTTTTTAGAGTGTTAGAAAAACAAAGAGGCTATATTGAATGTAGGATTTTTCCTTCTTCCAAGAGCTGTCAAAATATTTATTGCTGTTGGAGAGAGAATCAACAAAGTCATCAGTATCTCTCTATAAAGTTAAAGGCAGAAATTGGGAAAATATGGTGATCCCTTTTTAATGACCTCAACAACCTATAGAGAGCAAATACTAACTTGCGATGGTACACACAACTAGTTTCTATATGTTTTTCTAGAAGAAATTAATCATGCCAATGAAGCACTGTCTCATATAAAGCAGTGTGACTCTTAGGAAGCATGGACACAGTTTATGCATTCCATGACACTTCTGCATTGTATTGTGGTTCAGATGTGTCCTAAAAGATCAAGATCCTACGCAACAGAAAAAGAATCATCTTTTTTTAAAAAAAAAAAAACAGGAATCACAATTGGTGCTTTGGTTAAGCTGTAGGCTCTTTTAATGGAATATGAAGAATTAGTTTCAAGGTCTCAACTTTTTAATAAGAGTGTTACTCTAAAAACCAAAGAATTTTCACCAAATTTTTCCTTTAACAAGGAAAATCTAGAATGTTTTAACCTTTCTATTATCTTCTTCCTCTAAAACACTAGAATTTATATTGTTTGGTATATAAAGCAAATCAGAAAAACAGGAGGAAGTAAGATAACACCAAAAAAAGGGCTCTGTTGAAAGGACAGCACTGAAGTTATTAACTGGGATTCTCAATGCACATTTTATGGAAATATAGAGAGAAGTATCAAAAACAGAACATACCTTGTCGTGTCCAGAATCGCCCCCTCTGACAATATCTGGTGCCATGTATTCAATAGTTCCGCAAAAGGAATATGCTCTTTCAGTCTTGAACAAATAAACAAACAAAAAAGGGATGTGATTGCAAGCCAGCATGACAAATATCCAAAGGAGAAAGATAATAATAGCGTCATGTTGAGATACACTGCGGTAGCAAAGCAGGGGTAGTGTCTGCCTGACAGGCCCCCTTCTCAGGCCAAACCATCTCCCATACAGCGTGAGACCTGCATAAATGTCTTCTCAGACTTCTCTTCTGAAACTCCACCATCATCCACCCATCCATCCACCCATCTTCATTTGTTTTTTTTTGAGTGACTGTTTTGGCTTTGGTTTCTTTAACCCTCCTCTCTTTGGCACTGCAAACAGTCCCAGTAGGGGAACAGGAAGTAGAGAGCTCTTTCCTAGAGTGACTAGCTCCACACAGGGAAGACCAGAAACACACTGGGAAACCTGAAGGAGGAAAGAAGACCAAATGCTCAGGAAGGGGAAGAGAAAACCCAAAGATGAAACTAGCGGGGAAAAAAATTATTTTTCTACCTGATCCTCTTGCACAGGTTTGGCACTGTGAACAGTATAAATATATATCTCTAAGTAATGACGAACAAAACCATCTCTAAAATAAAGATTGTCTCTTAAAGGTAGTTGTTTCACTTTTATAGAAATTTAAAAATTCAAAAGAACTACTATATCAGGCCTGAAAGTTAATTATAATAACTTAAATAATTTTGAAAATAATAGACTGAATATTAATGTTGTTATGCATGCATAAAAGGAAATAACATACAATCATACGGCTACATCTAAAAAGCTTT